ATACTATCTCCTACATATATAGTATATATAGCTATGTAGAGAGATATGTAGTATATATGCTATCATATTTAAAATAAGCCTTACTATAAGATTTCAAATGCCGTCTATGTCTTCTGGCTCTCGTTTTCTCAAAGGACACATCATGTAACCTATCAACCAGCACTTGAATAATGCAACAAATACATATTTATTTTCTGTGGGAAATATAATCTCATTATTTTCTCAAGTTTTAAAAAGGCATTTCTGTATTGTTTTTTTTTTTTTTCCTAACTCATTTAAGTTAACATCCTACCATTCCAACATTCAACCTCTATTCCAATTGGCCTTTCTCGTCATTGATCTATGGGTACATCCTATTTATTCTAGAATTAGATCTGCCAATCTATTAATAAAATGCTGTCCTCATTTTTCTCTAATAAGCCCAATCCCATCCATCCCTCACAGGCCTGTAGTATTCATATATTCTTTATGTTATCTCTTACTACTCCCCGTCCTCTCTACACAGTATCTGTGGAGACACCATAGAAATTTTCTGAATTACATAGAATTGTTCCGTAGTGTTTGCCAGATAGCAAACACCTCTCTTCACGTGAAGAGAGTGCTTCTAATAAACCTGTTGGCACCTGAAACCTCAACAAATAGACCTGTCAGATGTGAGCACAGATCTCATATTTTCATCTGGTTCCTGCTTGAGAACATGAAAGTCAACTGGACTTCAGGTCTGTGTCTGCAGATTTTAAAGAGATTGAAATCAATTCAAGTGCAATGAATCCAACATAATCTAAGGAAACTGAAAACTAGATCTCAAATCATATCAGGAACAGGTAATTAAGGTGATGGGGGCCGTAAGGCTTCTTTACCTGAAATAAGAAATATCACACCCCCGATGACAGCCATCCGCATCTTCTGTACCTCATCATCTTCCATGCACTTCATACACTTCATGCCAATGGTGGCCACAAAAATCGCTATCAGTCCCAGCAGGATTCCAATCACCATCAAGGCACGGGTTGCTTGCAAAGTACCTGGCAGAAAACATTTTAGAATATGTCAAAATATGCCTAGACCAACAAAAGAAGAATGGAAGAAGGCCAAGTATATTTCAGTGTTGTACAGAAAACTCAACTAGGAGTCAGGAGACCTGAGTCCTAGGAATGTTTCTGTTGGTAACCCAACACAGGATCTTCTCCAGGAAAACAAATACTGAGCTGGATGATGAAAAACAGGTCTCCCAGCTTTAGCTTTTTATGTTTTCAACATTACATTCAAAACCAATCAGAAAAATAATTAATGCCCTAATTGAATAGGTTAAATTGAACTAATACGTATTTAATCCTTACTAATGGAGAATTTTAATTCTGAAATAACAATCATATACATTATCCTCGATGTTAACCATTTGTAATTAAAATGGTTTACAATATATCTTTGCTATTAGTCACCAGCTTTACACACCAATCATCATGTTTCAGAAAAACTGCATGAATTTGGAAGACTAAAAAATGAATTTTTCTTAGATTATTATGGCTGGATAAGCAACATTTGTATCTCCAGTGACATGGTCAGGTGTAGAGTGTGGGACAGGATATGAAAAGCACTTCCTTAAAACAAAATAACCTTTGAGATATTATCTTGGGACACAGTAGTAGATTCATATCCAACGAGATCACCAGTTTTTAAAACTATTTAAAATGTCATGTGGTAAAATTGTAAACACAATAATTTAATGTAGTATGTCTCAGGATTCCATTAATTTTCTAATTTTCTGTTATTGTCTTTGATGTATTAAGTCATGATCAAATAGGCAGGGTTAGGTTTGAGAGATTAGGTCAATATGTTTCTTAGAGTGTAAAAGCTTGATACCATCACTGTGGCATAAAAGCATAGACTTTAAAATGAGCTGAAATTATGCTGGTTAGAAGATTTTGTTTAAATTCTAGATTTATTTCCTCCTTCAATTAAAGATCACTATCTCACTGACAGCATTAATATGTAACAAATATTTTCACATAAATAAGTATTATTTACCTTGTAGTAAACTATGCTATTTTGGGTAAGCTATTTAGTATTCTTTGTAACTGCATCTGTATTACGTAAAATGTGAATTATGATCTCTCTCTCCAGGGGACTGGAACAATTGACTCCTGGATGGTCTTCAAAAGTGGCTGAGATATGGAAAGATTTTGTATCTCAATATCTAATTTAGACCCAGATTCAGTCTTAACATCTTCAGGAGTGATAACTTAGGTTATCAATCATAATTAAAGCTAAATGTTTCTAAAACTTCATTAAATTTTAATTTACTGATATTCCCATCTTTGCCACGACCAGATAATCTACGACAAACTTACAGTAATCTCTAAGAGGTGGCAAAGGTATTTTTTACAGTATTGAAGAGATAGGTTGGAAGCCAAGATAATTTTCTACTTGATTTCATTTAAACCAAAAAAAAAAAAAGAAGAGAGAAAACTACTCTCTACTCCCCTCATGTAATCACCGCCTCATAAGTGTGTGGGGCACACGTGCAAACTCATCTACACATTTATCTTAAGATTCCAAGGTGGTAAAAGAACAGCCAGATCAAAGCATGTTCCACGGACCACAGGTTTACCAGGAACTGAAACTGCTTATAAGATTATTATAAAACGTTTTCCTTGGAATCACAAACCATACTCTGGTATGAAGAGGAAAGTACCAATAACTCTATAGTTAAGGTGTGTCCTTCTTTCTGATTTATCAGCAGTTTTTGCAGAGACAATCATTACTTAAAAGGAAAAAGAGAAATAAAACAACTAAAGTATTATATATAACACGCATTTCAGATTTGGCCCTAAGATTACACTCAGAAGGAAAACATTTCAGGCAGAGAAACGCAAAAAATGGAGATGCTAAAAGTAACAAAGATGATCCGTGTGCCTAGAGGATAGAGTGACCACATATTCCAGTTTGCCAGGAACTCTCCTAGTTTTAAAACAAAGTTCTATTTCATTAGAAGGCTCTCAATCTTGGGCAAACTGGGCACCCTATTGGAGGATGACAGGATGTGAAAAGTAAAATGGGGTTTAGCAAGGTGGGCAGAAGGCCTGTGTCATGCAGAGCTTTGCATGTTAGGGTTCAGGGCTTGGAGTTCATTCTGAGTGTAATCAGAAGTCACTGGAGGGTCTTAAGAAAGGAGTGACATGATTTTTACCCTCAATACAGAAATCGCACAATTAGTAAACATTCTTTCTATGACAGCCCTTCAAATACGTATAGGCTTTTACATCTCAAAGCCACCTCCACTTTAATTTCTCATACATACTATTTTCCAAGCTTTTATTAATCACTTCTGGTGTTTTCTCTGATCTCTCTCCAAGTTTTCTACTTTGTTCAAGTTGTAAGGCCCCAAACAGGACTTTGCTTATATAATAATCACACTGCTGTGTTCTTCAGGTAAAACAGCAAGCAACCAGCCCAGCAAGTCTGAGTACCTGGATTGATTACAGGGTATACTTCATGAGGAGTCTACTAGGCATCAATCTCATGAATCAGGCTTGTATAAAACCACTGATTTCCCAGGCAAGGAGCACACATATGTAAACTATTCCAGGGCTCCATCTGCACCTACCTGGAATGATCTGG